AGTCTGTCCTAAACAGGGTACATACGTTTGTGTGTGTCTGTCCTAATTAACCCCTTCCTGGGCCAATCCCCTACTTTAAATACAATTCCCAACCCACCAGCTTAAAAACACTTAATTGACTGCTCCCCATCTACCTACCTTCCAACATGAAAATTAAACTCATTTTCCCCTCTGAGACAAGTTAGTTGCATGAAATCCTGTGTTTTTTTGAGCATGGAGTTTTTTCCACGGCTGGAACCACAGAAATAATGAGTTGTACTACTCTGAGTGATGGTATCAATGAAAATAATTTATTTAAGTGAACAAAAAATGAACAAAGCACTAAATCATCAAAGATTTATAGTTCACTGCTATCTGATTGCTTCATAATTAAATCTATTGGACTACCTAAAGCCAAAACACAAATTTCCTTGGTAAAATGTGGATTAGTGGACTGGTTTAGTTAAAAACTTTTAGCATGTTTTGGAAACAATCATTTTAAAAGAAGTATGTGTGACACCTCTAGCAAGTCTGTTTACTTTTAAAGAACAGTCCACCTCATTATCTACTTTCCAAGTATTTGTAAACAGAATTTCTTTTTTTAAGGAAAACACTCACAGTACAAATCGAAGTTTGTTTGAAAACAGGGTTCATTGTAAATGTTTCTTCATAAAGTCTACCATCCTTCCTAATGCCAAATCACAAATTTCCTTAGTGTAATTAGGATTAGTAGGATTAGTGAAGGCATGGCCAGTATCATACATGTGTAACTCATAACTCACTCCAGCGGCATCAAACTTCTCTGCAAGGGCCTTAGCATCTTTCGGTGAAGAGAACCCTTCTAGTGTATCTTTACTACCAAAGTGGGCTTGCACTGGTGCTTTGATCTTGCCCACATCACAGAGGTCAGAACTGGGAATGCCATAGAATGGGGCGGCAGCTGAAATCTCTTCAGGAAGTAGTGCGGCAGCTGCTAAAGCAAGGGCCCCACCCATACAGAAGCCAGTCACACCCACTTTCTTACAACCTGACAAAATAACAAATAATTGCAGGTTTAGTTTCTAAACATAGGATATGTTCACATTATACCGCTAGCCTTTGTGCTGCCACAAATATCATACTGGGTAGGGCTTCTGTTCACACGCTCACAAAAATTGTTGTGGTGGTGTGATAAGTCTGAGATGGAGCAAGGCTACCCCAGTCTGATCTCTAGAGCAGAGAATCACATATCAGTTAGGTGTTCACACACTGACTACACTGCCGGGGGTTAGCTATACGCGGCGCCATGAAAAGCTAACAGGTATAGTTAGAACATAGCCTTACACTAAGTATGGGGCTGCATCAGTGGCAACCTGCTGGCAGAGCCTTTCTTTCACTTGCTCACGACGATATTTCGATTTTGGCATACCTAACAAAGACTGCATTAATTGAGTAGGATCTTTGTTGAGCATATAGGTTACTTATTGCCATAAGGATACAGTTTGGAACCCAATCCTAATAGCTGTGCCCTTGGCACAGTGGGTTTAGTTAAGACCATCAGACTATCAATAAAAATGGATGCTTGCATTTGAAAAACCAGTTTGATGACAGAAGGCAAGATTGACTTATCCAGAAATTGAGGCTGTGGCAAATTCAGAAGCTTTACACCATTCAGCCAGATCAGCCTCCTTTTCTCTTCTCAACCAACAAGAAGACAAAAGCAGGTTCTGATCGCAGGGTGCATCAGTGGAGGACTGAGATACAAAACTTTTGGGTTTTTTCAACTGAGTTGATAAATTACAGGTGTCCATTGACTGCTGTATATAGATTGAAAAGGAGGATCAGATGGGCTAGTGCTCAAAAAAATAATTAGTTTTACAAATCAGGCAAACTTCCCAAAGGTCTCTATGGGCTGGTTGTTTATTACCTGAGATGGGGGCCTGGACCAGGGCCAGGGCTGGCCATTTTGCTGAGGGTTCATTTTCAGATTAGGAAGAATTACCTGGGGGGTCATTTTTCATGAAAGTAGTACAGAGCAGTAACAAGCATGAATTGAAATTGAATGTAACATCTGTAAATAGCAAACACTGGTCTTATAAACACAACTGTAGATAAAGCATGTGGTGAACTCTTGGCACGATTTGTAGCCTACAGAACAGGTGTTATTTGTTTACGTTTTTTTAGACGAGAGAGGGCATGCACTTTACACAATTTGTAGCTAGAATATTCCTTTCACCATAGTTAAAATTTATGGGGGGTCATTTCTAAATAGCTAGGATGAATTGGGGGGTTGGGTTTGAAAATCCAAGTTTTCTAAAAATGGTGTGCCTCCCTCACAGGTAATAAGCAGTCACCCCCCCCCCCTCCTAGTAAAACACCCATCATGCTGGTAACCAGTGAGAGAGGACTGTATTCATTATTAGGAAGACCTTAGATAACAATGACTTCAACCAGGTTGTGGTGTCCAGTGGTTTTAGTGAAAACAAGGGTTTGGGTCTGGTGCTCAGTCTCGCAGACTCAAGAAAACCTGGTCTTGGCAGGCCCGTAGGGAGGTGGGTGTGAACCATGCCCTCACACCCCCCCATAGGCGCCAGAGGTCCACTTTTTTATTGATCAGTGACTTAAAAAAAGTGAAGTAGGAGTATAGTGTAGTGAAATTGAAAATGCTGTTAAAGAAGTCACAAGCCTGACTCACTTTTTCCAAAAAAAAAAGTTTTAGCCTTCGTTAAGTATAAAAAGGGGATTTGGTGTGCCTACAAGACACTTTTTCATTGCTCATTAAAAATCCTTTTCGTGTTTGTTTGCCATGCTTTTCTGCAAAGTCAGGTTGGATCTGAATTGTTTTTTTACCAGTTGCATGGCAAGTATGAGAACTCCCGTCAGCTTTGACATGCTGAACCCAGTTCTCTATGTTGCTTGGAGGATATTAAAACTCCTATTAAAGCTGCACCGTGTGACTCTTTGTGGAGAAAAGTTTTTTTAGGTCGACATTCTTTCTTGTTGAAAGTATATAAGTTTCACCACACCATCTTAGTTTTAATTGCATTTTCAGCCATTTCAGGGGGCTTTTAAAATTCAAAAAGTTTTCACAGGAGCATGTCCCTGGACTCACACTAACGTGTTCCAGGTGAGCCCCCCCCCCCAGTTGCAAAGTTCCTGGGAAATTTTGTCTCAGACAACTAAAGCTTCCCCCCTTAAGAGATATGCCCCACCAGCCTTATTTGGTATGTCTCCTAGTTGGATTGCACCTACCCCGTAAAAAACCTCCCTATGGGCCTGCTCGGTCATTCTTATTTAAGGATTTTCTCATTATTGAACATTCTGTCGGCGAATACTAATCCTAAACACACCCTCCCACTCCCTGGGTAGGGAAAATATCCATTTTGAACCACTGCAGTTTCAAAACAAAGCTTGGAGTTATCTTAACAAAAAAGGGGTCATTTTCAGGATTTTGCAGCGTTCCGGACCAGCCCAAAGTTGCAACACCTACGTATACTATACTCTCCCTCGAATTGCGTGACCCCGATTAACTATTAAGGAGTTTATATATTGGACCAACCTTTCTCCTTCAAATATTTCGCAGCCCCAGCGATATCTTGCACTGCGCCTGGCCAATCCAAATCAGACATGTAGTGGCCCGCGGTTTCGTGATCCGTCGCTATTTTTCCCCGGTACAAGTCGGGAACAAGGGTAACAAAGTTGCCCCTTCCAGAAATATCCGCAGCTTCGTCTATGATCACCTGATTCATGCCCCACCACTCCTGTAGAACCACGAGCCCCATGCTTGATTTGCTAGTGTCTCCCGTCAACACCCCCGACAAAGCTCCTTGTTTATTCTCCGAAGGGAAGCAGACTTTTTCTTTGTTACTCATGATGTTCTTAGCTGGAAAACGCCAAGCAAGTCGACACAAGGATGAGATTCGAAGGGCCGTTTTGCTAACGCTTCGCGTGCGGGATTTGGGATTTGCGGGGATATCGGCTCAAGTAAAAGTGGCTGGGTGTAGCTTGGGTACTAGTTTTTAGTCTCCCCCGTTCACCCTAGAGTCACAGTGATCTGATTGAACTCGAATAGGAGAATTAATTTTTTTATTTTTGGAAAGAAATAGTGCCGGTACCACACATTTAGGCCACTTATCGCTAATCTAGTATCTTCACACTCCTGTAAGGGCTTCCCATTCAAGACACCCTGTTCAACTAACGCTTGAAAACCACACCCTGTTCAGCGCACAGTACCTACTTCTTCGGTAACCAATACAGTGGCCTGTTGCTTAGATTTTCTAGTCCGGTCAGAGCTATTAATAACCTTAGTCATGGATAATAGAAAGACAGTCTTTCTATTATCCATGCCTTAGTCAAGATCAAGAGCCATTATGGCTCTTGTCATCTTAAGTCTGAAACTCATTGACAGTTTTATTTTGAAGACATTTTAAAATGATAACTAATTAATGTCACGTTACTAGGTTCTAGTAATGATGAATATTTCCTGAGTCATGATCAAAGAGTTTAAAATTCCTATTGTTTTTTATTTTGCACCCCTAGATATGGAAGGTTGTAAGTAAACTTTTTTTTAGTGATCGCCTGAGTTGTAGTTTAGCATTAGCAAGGAAGAGCAAAGCTTTTCCACTTTTTTTTTTCATGGAGCAGGGGTTGGACTTCTCCACATATACTTCTCCTATCTTATTGCTTTTGTTTTAACACAAGCTATTCTCAACAAATTGCGGAAGGTGCACAATAATTAATTTTAGATTAATTAGCAAGCTTTCTTCGCGAAAAGTTTTGAAAAGTATCAACGTCACATCAGTTTGCCATTCCATTGTTAAGGCCCGTTGACGTCTCTGTGTTTTGTGGGTTGCCGACATATCATTGTTCCTCACTCTTTTACGATTCACTTTAGTTCAGCCAGAAAATAAACAAGTTAATTTAGAGCGCACTTGAAAAAGCCAATCAGAATGTAGCATTCTCTGCACTCTTTTGTTCGCCGACAGGTAAGCACATACACACGCGTCGCCTCGTTTCCATGGAGTGAAAGTGACGGTAGCCAAAGGATCGCTGTAGTTTAGTTACTGAACAATGAAAGATGCATAAAGATTTTCTGGGATTTGGCTGTCATATTTATTTTTAATAACTAGCTAGGAGACAGTTGAATGTCTAAATTATGCCCTCTCTTGTAGGGGAGGTTCTGATGTGGCGAAACGGCAAAAAAAATTTGCTGATCGCGTAACGGAGCATGATTGTAAAATGGCTGAATTTGGAAATCAACCGTCGGGTTTTAACCCGCCAGGGAGGCAAGGATGTTTGTCGGATCAGGAAAGTTCTTCGGAGATTTCCTCAGGAGTTGATTTACAAGAGCGTTTACGAAAGGAGAAGTCATTTCGCAAACAGACGGACGAAGTATACCAACGTCTTCAGGACGACTACGATGAACTTCTAAAGAAATATGCACAGGCCGAGAATACCATAGACCAGCTGCGAATAGGAGCAAAACTTAACTTGTATAGCGACTTACCTCCACCACAACAAAGCTCGTTTGTAAATGTAACAGTTCACAAACAACCTGGTACGTTTAGATTTCCGAGAAGTAGCCGTGCTGTGTTGAGCGAAGGCGGCTCTGCGAACGAAGAGACATCTCGCGGGGTTGATGCCGGGACGCAAAATGGCAACCAATCGATTTATGCGCCAAACGCCGGTTCACATCCTTCGCTCTCTGATGGCGTGAGATTAAGAACAGCTTTGTCGTCTAAAGTTGAACATTTTCAGGAAGATGTAGATGCTTTACAAGATCATGTTATGCAGGGACAATGGGCTGAACCTGAAATAGAAGAACTGCGGAGTATGTGTGAGCAATTGAAAGCACAAAGTGAGAATTTAAAACGTGAATTGGCTCAGATCAGACGGTTGGAAAGTGGCGGAGATCCTGAAACATTTGAAGATGAAAGGTGAGTGAAAATGAAGATAAATTTGACGTTCTTGGTGAAGGTCAAAGATGTTGATTGTGATTATATTTAGGCCCGGAAATTGTGTTTGTATAGATGTATTTTTGTCAACACAAAGTTTGTCGCAATACAGATCTCCTCTGTTACAAGTAGCAAGTTTACGTTCTTATATTGAGCACAAAATTTACAATCGCCTTGAAAGAAGGCGAATTTTTCGACAGTATTCAGGGCTGTTTAGACGTGATAATTACGTTAACTTTTCTCCTTTATTTAACAGACATTTTGTACACTTTCAATAAATGAGCTTATTTAACTAGGTCTTCGACTTAAGCTTTGTCCAAAGTTAAACGAAACTGCTTAATGATTAATGATAAACGCTCTGAATTTTAAAACGATCAACTCGCGATAAGAAAAAAAGAAAAATGTTTTCCAGCTGATTCATTATTATGATTCATTGTTTCCTTTTACAAAACTGAAAAGTTTTTCTTTCAATCCCACTTGTAGATTTGAAATAGCCTAACACCTTTGGTATGCTTTGTAAAAACACAAAACATTGTTTAGGTTGAAATGACTGCAGGTCGACTGTAAACTTTGTGATCCCATTCTTTTGGTTTAACATTATTCATTCGCTTTTATAATGACACCTAGGTTTTGGTTGATTTGAAAATTAATATATCATGCCCAAAGATATTTAGGAATTTTCCTGAAAGGTTTTAGTACAGGATGCTCCCAGCAGGATCACAAAGCTATGATTTTTTAATTGTTGAAATTTTGGAAACGATAACAGTAGTGTGTACATTTTTTNCTTTTGGTTTAACATTATTCATTCGCTTTTATAATGACACCTAGGTTTTGGTTGATTTGAAAATTAATATATCATGCCCAAAGATATTTAGGAATTTTCCTGAAAGGTTTTAGTACAGGATGCTCCCAGCAGGATCACAAAGCTATGATTTTTTAATTGTTGAAATTTTGGAAACGATAACAGTAGTGTGTACATTTTTTCCAACAAATAATCAATGTTCCCGTTGACTTGGAAATATAGGTAGTGAAATGGCATTCACTGGATAGGCCATGACACTTTTAATGTATCTTTAAAGGTGTTGGTTTCTAAAATAAGACTGGTGCAGTTTGAAGTTGTGGTATGAAACTTGTAATTTTGTCAACCATGCTTAAGCCTACAGTTGGGACTTGAGTAAAACAATAATTGTCGAAAAGCTTTTAAAAAGGCCAAACATGTTTGAATTTTTCTCAGAATTATTTATATTTGAATGTGCAATATACACGTGATGTCTGTGAAGAGGTTGATGGCATAATTGGTGTTTTTCAGCAATCATTATGAATTAATCATCTTTTAAGGTCATTTCTCAAAACAGCATTTCCCCCTTTGCTCAAAGCAAACTGCTCTTACTTTTCAGTTGACTTATGACAACTTTATGCTTTAAGCACCACCATGGGGTTTTTCAGTTATATTAGAATGGGCTGACATATCTGAACTGGTTTCATCAATTTTGGTCATTTCCAAAACCTATATCCATTCAATAGACATTTTGATCATTCACCAATTTTGGTTATTTTGGGGCTGGTGCACCATATACCAAGTGAATAGCAAGACTCAAGTTACATCACAAAGAACACGACAATGATATCTAGCCCTTACACAATAGCACAATAGAACGACACAAGAGTGTATTTATTGACTTGGTGTATCGAGCATCACCCCATTTTGGCAGAATACAAAGTGACAATTTGGGAAAAAAATTAGTGTAACAGTCCCACCACAACACCAGACAGTACTGTGAAATAGTCACAAAATACACATAGATCTCCTATACTGTAAGTGACCATCAGTGTTTGCTGATCAATGATTCAAACCATGGTGCTTTGACTGAGACAACTGATTTGACCTGGGATACCTGGTGGTGGTTCTTAGGAGCATTCACCCCAAAACAAGGGTTGTTTAACTCTGCATATTTCGTTGATTTTTTTTTTTAATTCAATATTTATCCAGGGGCATCCAATTTAGCAGAGCTAGTTTAAATGGAGCCCTGACACAACACAAAAATAAAGACATTAAAACACTAAAACTAGACAACTGATTCAGTTACAAAGGCAACATGTACCACAGGCGTTACTGTTTAAAATGGTGCGTTAGCTTGATTGTAAATTCACTTGTATATGTATTGTATCATTGCAAAAAGTATTATGATGACTGTACATGAAGTCTTTTGCCAGTGAACCGCAATGTGGCATACGCTTTACCAAATTTTAATTATTGTGCTTTTTTGTCAGAGTTATTAATGTTAGTCAGCTGATGGTCATGTGACTCAGGGTTTGAGCATGGTACTGTGGTGGGGTTACTTTGTTTTTGGTCAAAAGAAGGCAGAAATTAGAACCCTTTCCTGTCTGGGGCTAGAAAAAATCCTGTGAGGAAATTAAACCCCAGAAGATATCAAAAGATGATATTGATTATTTTTAGGAGAGTGATGAATAGCACAAAAATGTTTCTTTTGACGTGCCAAGGCTAATTATTTTGTGAGTCACACTGATACATAAAAAATTTTAGCATAACTAAGTTAGAAAATTCTAATTGCAACAACCAAAACTTTTACATTCATTAGTCATAAAGAAATTAAACATAGGCCTTTTCTTAATTTTGCGTCTTTTAACTATAGAAAATTAATGTCAAAATGAGATACGGTGTAAACCCAAGCAAAAGTGGACATAAGTTGTTTGCATGAGGGTCCCTTTGCCTTTTTGTGAAAGCAACATGACTTGCAAGTATAAAGACCGTTTTGACATCTCACTTTACACTTATTACAACAGTAATCTGTGATGGATGGCTCACCACTTTGAGTGGAGTCGTTATAAAATGTAGCTTGTTCATGTGCGATGATTTTAAAAAGAAACCTTCACTTTATGTAGTTGTATGTTTACATGCTCATTGATGTGTTTTCTTTGCCTGTAAGTTACTCTCTTTTACTCTATTTTGTTCATAGTCCAATTTGAGTAGTTGCATTGTAATACAACTGAAGTCCTTAATAAGATTCAAAGTTAAATTCCAGCTTTCAACTCACTCCTTTTTATTCATACAAATTTTAATTTGAACATGAGGAAAACCAGGATGTGCTGGTGAAAGCAAATTTGTCCAGGGAAAGTAACCAAAAAATAAAATAAAAATTAAAGATTAGAAGCAAGAGGGGATTTGTGACACTTATTACTATGCTCAGCTCTTGGTGGAGACTATTCCAAGTCAGTTTTTTTGAAGAAGTGATAAGGTGTTGTTCTAATAATAATAAAAAATATTTTTATTATTCCTTTGCAGTTTTAGTGGTGATTTTTTGCCTGAAGATAGCATTAATGGACAGGTGAGTAAATTAATCAACTATTTTTTATTATTATTATTTTCTTTCCAAAGCTTTTAGACCTTCTGTGGCAAAGTTATCTGGACTTATGCAAAGCTCATTGGCACATAAGACATCTTTAACATTTTGTCTTTGTTTTTTTGCAATGAAATCTCTTTCATTGTTAGGAGTTTGTTTCCTAATTAAGCTTAAGTGTTAAGTGGTATTGAACCAGAAAATTCTTCTTATCCAGCACCTTCCAAAACAACGACAGACGTGGCACTGGCAAAGACAGAAAACCAGATGGAGAACTAGACAAACAAATGTACTGAAATACATATGCAACTATCCTGCATAGCAAGTGGTTTTCTTGTGTTTTTGTTTTTTGTTCATGACTCAATCTTCTTTCTCTTGCCAGCTCCCAATCGTTTTTTTGTGTAACTTCTCACTTTATGAAACATCAATGAAAAAAATGTCTGCTTTGCACAATAATAATCAAGTGGTATACATTTAAGGAGAAAAACACTGGCTTGCATGTATTTGTCAGATATACATTTTCATATGTGCTTTGTCCTTGCAGTTATATCGATGTGGGCTGAGACTTGAGGAAATATCAGACCAACTGGGAAGTGCAACTCCAACCAACAGGGTACCCAACCATGAGGGAAGGAGGAACAGTTATAGTGAACTGTTAAACAGGTTAAGCAACATTCCTGTTCTTTGCCTATGTAGAGTGTCCTTGCTTTCCTGGTCAAACTTTGTGTCTGGTAGTGTAGTTTTTACTTACATGTACAAGACCATAGTTGATATTACATTTTGAGGCAGCATTATTACTTACTTAGAAGCCCGAGGATTTCAAATCCCATGGACGTATAAAGAGTCCATTAATTTCCTTTTGATTTTGTTGTAACATACAAAATAAAGAGATATGTGGAATCAAGTCGGTATAACTGCCTCAGTAAGTAGTATCCACTGTTAGAGCAATCAGATAAGCTACATGTTTAATACCCATTATTTACATGTTTTTTATAGACCTAGAGATGGCTATCCACAAGCAGTGGCTGAAAACCATGGACATGAACCTGAGTTACAGAACTTAATGCAGGTAACTGATATGATGAAAGAATGAAGATTCAGCTTTAGGCACATGATATTATAGAAAAATTAAAACAAGCCTGCAGATAACAGCAGATGTCGATGATGAAGGGATCCAATCGGGTTCCAAAAGCTCTGTGTAACTTTCAAGAAATTGTTGACCCTCCCTATTGTTGGTGGTGAAAAAAATTTCTCTGTAACTAATTTGATGTTTCATGTTTGTAAACACATGATACATTGCTCTGAAAAGAGTTATAGTGGTGTT